AGCATGTTGAAAGTTAAAATTTGGTTTACTGTTACATATTGAGAATGATGAGAAAAGAACTCTCTACAGACCTAAGGGACAATATTTTTCAGAAGCACAATTCCGGAGAAGGCTATAAGTCAATTTCAAAGGTTCTCAATTCGCCATTAAGTACTGTAAAATCGGTTGGGAAGAAATGGAAAGTGTGCCACACTACCTCAACCTTGAAGGAAATGCGGAATTCAATAAAACACCTTAACAATATCACGTTCCTTACACAAAAAATGCTAGCATGGTAGGGTGGCAAGAAAGAAACCACTACTGACGAAGATACATCTTTGATCGCGAATGGACTATGTCCGTGAACATTTCAATAACCTACAACAATGTAGCAGAAAATTCTGTGGTCAGATGAGATCAAAATAGAACTTTTTAGGTTAAATGACAAACAGTATATATGGCGGAAACCCAACATTGCTCATGACCTGGCAAATACAGTCTCAACTGTCAATCATGGTGGTGGGTCCATAATGCTGTGGGGATGTTTTTGTGCAGCTGGCAGTGGAGAACTTGTACGCATTCAAGGAATCATGAACAATGCAAAATATACACAGATGTTGGAGATAAACCTGAAGAAGTTAGCTGAAAAACTAAAACTCGGTTGAAAGTTTACATTTCAACAACACAATGAACCCAAAGACAAATCAAAGCCAACCCAAGAATGGTTTCGGAGAAACAACATTAAAGTCCTAAACTGACCAAGCCAAATCCTAGACCTAAATCACTCGAAAATTGTTATGCATCGAAGACATCCTTCCAATTTACAAGAACTGGAGGATATCTGCAAGCAGGATTGGGTAAAAATATCTCCAGCATAATGTGCTAAGCTTGTGGATGGTTATCCAAAATGACTTTCAGCTGTCATTGCTGCCAAAGGAGCTTTAACCAAATATTAACTGCATAATTATGTTAGGAGGTGAAGACTTTTGCAACATGTGTTTTTGTGGTATATCACAAAAGTAAGTAACAATACACCTTTTGTTCTTTGTAATCTTTAGAAATCGGTCTGAGAGTAATACAATAAATATTATGGTCATTTGAGTTATGTTTTCATAAGACAATAACCAAAATTTATTACCAGCACAGGGGAGTGAAGACTTCTGTTAGGCACTGTATATATATATATATATATATATATATATAATATATCTGTGTATGTGTGTTTATAGAAAAAGATTAACGATTTATCAACTGCCTAAAGAAAATTTAAGTTTTTTTTTAACTCTGGGACCTTACGGATTTGTAACTGTTCCTGCCTGTTTAAGATACAGCCATACAATCAAACTCTTAACAAACTAGAAAACACCAAAGTTGTTGGAAGCAGTAACCTCTAAAATCCAGATAAAGAAGGTATTCATTGTGTTGTCATAATTTCTTAGCTGAATAACGCTTCAGTCAATTTCAATTCAGAATAACTATTTCTGTCATGAAACCACAAAGGTAGCTTTATTGTCTATATATTACGTTATCCATAGTTCTTATGAATTATTGCACAACATAACAATATTCATAAACGATACCTAATTGAACTAACCTATGTTGCAACGTATGATACATCAGAAATTGTCACAAGCAAATAACATTTGAGCTTAAATCATAAGGTGATGAAGGAGGAGCAGAAGGACAGTGAAAAATGTTCTTTCACAGATTAGTTGGTCATATTTTTCTCCGTATTTGCGTGTCTGATGCTTCATGGCAACCAGCTGCTCAAAAGCACTTTGAAGTTAAACTGAAATTACTGATCTGGTGTTGCGGAAATTAAATTCATCAGAAATATTCACCTTTTCATAATTCAACCTTTTACAACAATAATATTTTTCTTATATTTTCCTGGTGTTGAACTTTATTTAGATTAGTGGACTTTCTTTGACCTTTATTTACCGAGTTCTGTCACTGCTGTGTTTCTTATTTCATGCATCCTCAAAAAGCAACAACAACAACAAAAAAGTAAAAATCTACAAATATTTTGTTGAATATATATTTCAGTTAAGTTTCTACTGAAAGTTATCTTAGCTTATTTAGTTGCTATATTATATATAGTTGCTCAGTTATGATATTAATTCAAACATACCTGATGAAGCCATGTGGAAGTAAATTGACATGTTGTTTCCAAACAACCAGGTGAAAGAGGTTCGTAAAACTCCAGGATGTTGTAGTGTTATTATGCAGAAAGGGTCCAGATAATATCAGTCATAAACCATAAAACTCGCTGTTGTAATGAAGGATGCATACATATATGTGTACATACAGATGTCATTTTATAAATTTTGTTGACTACTATGAATTATTTATACGTAAAAATATATATTATTAAATAAAATTGATTTCGGTCATTCCGTTATTTTGACAAGTAGGAAACTTGAAAGGTTAACTTTCCTTGTTGTTCAGTCTCTGGTTATATATTTTGTTTTCAGACACCTTCTGCTCAGTTTGCACGTTCTGGTTGGGTGCTACGTACAACGATCCTCTTTCAAGCTCCTCACATGATCAGAGATAGAAAGTTTCACCTGCGAACCTTTCGACGCTGTCTTGTTGGAACAGAAATGGTGGATTGGATTATTCAACAAAGTGGCTCTTTTTTTCATATTCATTCTCGATCCCAAGCTTCTGGTATGTGGCAAGCACTATTAGAGGAAGGAGTAATCTTTCATGGTAAGGAAACTGCGTTATTATCACAAACAATACAGTATACTCCACTTAAGACCAATAAGCGATTTTTGAATCATCTTGTAATAGTAACCCCGATATCTTTGTTTTTAGGCATGAAATAAATTGTAATATGGTCAAGTGTTTAATTTAACATTGCAACGCATGTCACTATATCCAGAAGTTTCTAGTTGGTGTCCAGGCAGTTAATATAAAAGTCATTTGACCAAAAACAACAATATGTAATCAAGGTAATCTTAATCTTCACTTGAGACTGAAATATTATATATGTCTAATGATTTTCATTGTTTACTTGACATATGATTAATACTTTGCTTCAAGCGTATACAAACATAAAGCTTAAAGCATCTGGAAAGACTCAGATACAGTTTTGTCAAAAATTTTCCCATATTTTGTAACAAATAAACTCATTATTAATACGATGGAATACAAATACACTTAGCACTATCAAACTGAGAAATGTTTGTTATATTAAACATCTATATGTGTAATTTGCATAATGAGACAGGTTCTATGGCCATCATGAACGGTTTATTAGAACAGCAAAAAATTTTATCAGCCATCTGTAGAAAGATGTGTTATTCAGAATTTCACCTATCACAACAAAACCTTACCAAAACATAAATATATAGTGACAAAATATATCATCAAATTATTATAAATAGCATCTATAACCTAATATCAATTCATATTAAACATACAGTACATGGTTGGTCCTTGTATTCTAATAACCTCAGCAAGGTGATGTGGCATGTTGTCGATATGATTATTAATGTAATCCACCATGATTTCTTCCCAACTTGTCCCTAGAAGGCGCTGCGACTCAGCTACGGTAGCTGGTTTATGGTCGTGGTTAGCAATTTTCCGACTCAGTTATGCTGAAAAGTTATCAATGGGATTAGAATCTGGAGACTTTTCTTGCCTGGGACATCTTGTAACGTCCTCCTGGTTGAGATAATTTTGTAGAATATGCGCACTGTGGGCAGTGGCATTGTCATCCTGGAATACAAAGTTATTTTCAAACCTTGCACTAGCATATGACAGTAATTTGGTCTCCATGTGATGCCTGTAGGAAGGGCCATTGATGTTTCCTTGGAGGATATGAAGAGCAGTTTTTCCATCATGATGAATAACTGCCCAAACATGTACTGCAGCCCCTCCTATGTGTTTCCTATGGGAAAGATAGTCTTCCCTTATCTGTTCTCCAGGCAAACGACGAACACGAATCATACCACCAGCTTTAACAAGCCGTAAGCAGGACTCATTTGAAAGTATGACATGTCGCCAGTGTCCTAACTGTAAGTTGGCATGCTGTTTTGCCCAAGTAACATGGCGACAGCAGTGAATTGTGGTTAATATCAGTTTGTAGATAGCACTTCTTCTAAAATAATCTTCTTTGTTCAATCTCCTATTCACTGTACTTCTGGAGACTCTGGAATGTATGTTTTCATTCCATTCCTGTCATAAGATGTTGCAAGACTTCTTTCGACCTTGACGTTTTAATCTGATTAAAAGACGGACATCTCGGGCAGTAGCTTTCAGTGTCTACCATTATTTCCCTTGAACAACGTTTCCTGTAGTCCGATGACATTTCAATATTCTGGATACAGTATGCTGGGGTAACCTACTGTTCTGGCAATGTACATTTGCTTCATACCATTTCTGGACAGTTGAATAATTTGACGCCCTGTAAACCTCTGGTACATGACGAGGCATGACTGTATACCAAGTACAGAGAAATGGTCTGAACCGAATCACTGATCTGTTTCGAAAAAAATTTTGCCAAAGTATACCCTTTTCTACAAAACAGGTGTGTATGTATGTTCTGACGAACACATGCTCAAAACAACTTATACAACCAGAATAATAACTCTGTTACTACTCGGACATTTACTCAATAACTACTCCATGCATGTAGACAATAACATCAATATACAGATGAGAAAGTGGCCGGTTTTTGGTCAGTCCCTAAGAGATTAGGGGAGTACAGCACTCTAAGTCATCAGAAAATGATTAGAGTGACGAGTCACCTTTCTTGTTTAGCCACTGTAAGTATTATGAGACCCTTATGATTATGAAATGTCATAATTCTAATTATGGAAAACAGGTGTACAAGGTTGTAAAGAAAGAGAATTGTTGACATGGGCTTGAAAAAGAAATATAAAAGACGGGAGTTCAATGAAATAAAAAGATCAAGAGATGTGAGAGAGAACGAATAAACCCAGAGAGTAATATGGTGCAAGTACAAACAAAACCTTGTTTTAAATCTATGGGTTCTTGATTATAGTAATAAACAGCAATTTCTAATGTTTACATTAGGATGATTCAATATCTGATAGAAATAAGTACAACCTAAATAAAGTAGATTGATAAGAAGGAAAATTGAAGTGGGTTATAGTATTATCGTAATAAAGTGGTATTAAAACGATCTACAACGCAGATGAAGTGTATTAGTAGTCCATTTGTAAGCTGTGATATTTAATGTAGTAACCAGGTTACATTTAAAAACTTCCTGGCGAAAAACTGATAACATGTTTATACAAACTATAATGAGTTCAAGACAAACCCAGACTTAAAGTCTTTGAAGCTATTAAAATTCACAGTGTATAAAAATGTATTTTTTATGTTCTTCATGGTTAACAGTAAAATGAATTTGAAGTTGTTGACGATTTAAATTGTTTTGAAAGAGTATGATATCTGTATCTTGTTGAAGTGTCATCTACATATCTGTCATGTTGCAGAAGATTTAATAAAAAAATAACACTAATAAAGTCACCTTTCTTTCAAATAATAATGAAAATTTTAATTAAGATAAGGCTAGTAGTAACCCCATACTGATACAATCTACTTCATCATAAAAGAAAAACATTGAAGACGAATTGTGTTTCTTAGGTGGAAAATTATAGTAACCAATGGCAGTAGTTATCCCTGCACTCTGGATGCAAGCGTTGATTGGCTGCCTCAGGGAGAGGATTTAGAGATGATGACATCATAGTGCTACCCACCAGAAATTTTAAGTCTCATGTCTACAATGTGGCACCAGAGGGTACTACTGTCTTAGGGGAGGGGTGAAATCACAGTTCTACGAAGGGCATGTTGGTAGAGGAGGAGAAAGGATGATGAGGTCATCAGTGCAGAGAGTTTGCGAGCAAACTACCAAAGGGTGATACAAATCAACATGTTACCGACTATATAATTTTTGCTTCAGTAACAAAGTCTTAAAATTAATATTTTATCTAACTTGCATAACGTTATTTTTACAATTGTCAAAACTGAAAATATTTTAACACAATTACCGTTTCACTTTATAAGTAAAACTTACATTAAATCTGCTATTTTAATTTCTAGTTCTTATCATTATTGTCAACTTTATAGTTTTCACCTATATATTTAATTGCATTACATACATTTTACAAAGGCAGATGGTGTTTGTATAGGTTGAGAGTGTTACTAATGCATTCAGTGTACCACTGAAAAGTTTCTAACACATTTATTGTATCGTTTTTATAAATATTGAATGAATGAAACAGTTACATTATTATTCCATAGCCAATTGTGTTTTGTAAGTATCGATTTAGCACACAGTTAACATACTGATTATAGTTTTGCTTCTATATTAAATTTGAATGACATGCTTTATATGTAAAGCAATTATTGCTTGTTTATTTCTATAATTGATATATTCTATAACATCTATTCGCCCTGAAATGAATGCTTATTCAAATCTCTAAATACCATTCTATAATTTCATGTTTAGCTTTATAAATGGATGTGTTTTGCTAAAGTTTAAAGGATCTACATAAACAGTTATGTTTATCAATTATTATTGTTGAAAATTTTATTTTAATCTCTAGTTCTTATTATTATCATCAACTTTATAGTTTTCACTTATATATTTAATTGCATTACATACGTTCTTACCATTTCTTTTCTGTAGAACTTTTCATTTCGAAAAACAAGTGTTTAATACAGACAGGTCACTCTTTCAATCCTATTGTTTAATTACTTTGATTCATCCCAGATGATGGCAAGTTGAGAAAGCTTGACTCTTGTGTAAACCAAGGAAGGTATCACCTTAGGCTAAAACAAGTAGTGCCTTCATTTCTATAAACTGATGGATAAACTAGAAATTCTATTTTCGTATCTTTCAAAACTTCACTTTATGTACACTATAACATTTGAACGTACTAATTCACCAAAGCATCAGATACATTTTTCACAAATGAACATAATATATGTGATCTAAAACGTATTCACTCTTGTCATTGGAGATATGAAATATAACCTTACATCTTCATCATGATTTAACCTATTATAAGAATGATGAATCTGACTAAGATAGTCGATTTTATATGCTTCATACTATTCTTTTTTCAATACTTGTAAAATATGGAACACTTGTTCAGTGTATAGATTTTTAAGAATTGATTTAATCTATTTATTCAACTTTTCATTATGAACTATAGTATTTAAGTTAGTATCAAAATGAGAAATCTGTGCACATAACTTCTGCCATTCTGAATTTGATAAAACAAAGAGAATCTTATCAGATAGCATCGATATGTAAACAAAATAGAGGGATATTAACAACACACACAACACTAATTACACAATTCCGTCCTTCTAGGAGAAAATCTTGTTCAGTTATGCTCTGAATGGCTACACTAATATTAAAATTCCTCCCATTCTGTTGAATAAAAAGTGATGCCTTCCTTAGTTGGATATAGCTTTCTTTTGTCCAAAGTCCTTGAAATTATTCTCATAAATTGATAGAGTGATGTAATGGTTGCTCCCAATAGGATAGGCATGAACTGAATCAGGTGCTTATTCATGGTGTATAATAGTAGAGGAACATAACTGTCGTTTATTCTTTTTTACTGGTTCTTCTTAACTACTGGGTTTATTCTTTGTCACCATTTCATTAATGTCCACAGCATTTCTTTTCTTTCCAATAGACTAAAACATAATATAATTAGTATATATGA